ACTGTTTCGTACTGATTGCATGTGAAAAGCGTCGATAACTATCCAAACATGTTAGCAACAAAATTTGACCGGCAATGTGCTCGGTCGACACCACATTGATACATTACCAACACTTCCATGAAAGAATAAATATGTACCAGATTCTCATAATTTACCAACTATTTCAATGATTTATCAACATTTACTAAACTAAATCCATCTTCCGGTGAATGGCAAGCAATCCAATGACAGGGTTATGGTATTTCACCGGTAGGGGTACTTAAGAAAAGGCATATTATTTTAGGATTACCAAAATTATTTCCACGATTCACAAGTTTGATAATTTTATCGATCAAATATTTGACGGTCGATGTCTTAGTTCTTCCTTATTTTTCAATTTAACGTTAATTAATACTCATCGCAATAAATATCAATTCCAATTTTTCAAGGTGATCGAGTTAAGTAACAGACATAGCTACATGACCAACAAACGGATCACAATTAACCCAAGAAAATCCTTGGAATTAAGGTCATACGTAAGATTTTGGCAAAAGAAAAAAGGAGATTACGCTGTAAGAAATGAGACCTAATTTTTAAGTGCAACAAGGCGGTGAAAGTAATGTCATAAACAACATTTCAGGTCACAATCCTTGCACATAATTGAATAATTTGACAAATAATGTTGTCATGGCATTAATGGTCTAATATATGGGGGCTTGAGAAAAGGTGATCAATGGACGGGTCTAGACTGGGCAAGGTCTTTCCCAAGTCCGCCCATTGTGAAGCTTTCATATACAAATCTTCCAGCAGCGCCTGATTTGGCTAGGGCTTAATTAGGCTAGGTCGGACTTACTCACTAAATGGCCTTATCCAAACTTGGCCAAAAATGGCTTCGGGCCCTTGTAGCTCGGCTCCGGCATAGCAAGTCCGCGGACTGCAGATGCGGTCTAGACTTTGAACCCAAATTTGTTGCGGGTTAGGGTCAAAAGATCACATTCATACTAAAACAAATGTTTTGACTAAAACCTCAATTTCTTGGTCTTGTTGAAGTATTTAACTATTTTGAGTGAGCTTAAACTGCTATAGGTATTAATAGACGTGTTTTGAGTAGCTAGGAACAAGACTGCAGCAAAGTACGTGAGAATAGCAAAACGATTACGCAGGTGACAAGTATTTGACGCAAATTCTCTTGTCCCTATACTATTTACTTTTTGCATACTAGTTCAGCATAGGCATCACGAAACCTTTTAATGGTGATATATCTTTGATACTTAAGTTTGGAAATCGATTAAAATTTCAATGCCAACCAATTCACCGGTTCCCTCTTAGATTGTCATAAGTAGCATCTCATCCAAGGCACGAAATAAAAACCCTCTATCCCCCACCTTCGGTATGCCTCTACCACCGCCGCGAACCTCAAGTCGCGCCTCCGTCACATACCCGTAGTCATGTCCTAATCATCATCATCTACATCCCAATCATTGTTAATTTCTCGTCACAGGAAGACAGTTGACGGAGGGGGTATTGAGTGACCTTGAACTTGAGCACAAAAGGTCATGGCCGCAGCGAGCAGCGACGCAGCCTTAGCCGGTGAAGAACTCTGGGGAGGCTCGACAGCAAGGGCTAGGTGGTTTCGGAGGCATGTGCTTCGGTTTACGTGGTTTGGATTGAGGTTGGTGGCAACAATGTGGCAGAAATAGCGGGGCGAGGATGGGCGGAGGGAGCAGGGAAAAAGGGTAGATCTTGGCTGCTGTCCAGTGGAGTAATAATCCAAATTTCTAAAGATTTCAGTCCTTTCTATAAAAGCTTAATGTTCTTGGCGAAGAGTCACTAAAATAGATGAAAAAAAAAAATTCAAAAAGCTTGTTGACTCCTCCAAATTTCCTGCCAAAATTTGAAGTATTGTTCGGATTTTAAAATGTTATGAAAAGATTATATGTCACTCTACATGTCAATATTTATATGTTGTGAAGATTTCAAGTGTTTTAGGTAAATCAATAACGTCAAAATAGATTTGAATAGAAACAGTAAAAAGTAAAAGCCAATTTAGACACATCCTAAACTATTAAGGATTCATATGCATCATCAAGAGATGTTGCAACGAAAAAGTTATAATGAGAACAATAAAATTATTAAGACCTAAATTTTTACCTAAAGATCTTTGATTAATTTTATAAAAAAATTTCAATCGAAATCATTGACAACGACAAAATTTGACTCCGACACAAAAATATCGAAATTGTATGTCGATATTTTTGCATTTACATTTTTACTGCATATAGATATCAGAGACATTTTTTTGCTTAAACATAGCACGTCCGCATCAAATGGAACATAGGTCCGGTTGTGGATTTCATTCAAATTGGCCCGACGTGGGAAATGAGCTTAGAATTGAGATGAAAGGGACCCTGAACTCATTTGAATTTCCAAGACCAACCCCCCTGCGCCTGGCCCCAATGGCAATTTCGACCACTCCCTCCTTTCTTTTTGCTTGGCGGAAAAAAATGTATGTGCAATGCTTGTGTAGTGTCATATTTAGGAAAGTTAAAAACACAAGGGGAGGGAATTCAGCTTAATACAATGGATTAATACCACAAAAAACCCCAAAGTGGTATACCTGTAACAATTTTACCCTCTATTAGTTTTCGATAAATTTTATCGTTAAATTTCTGAGTTGGACGACACATGGCAGTTGACGAGTATACCAGTTTGGAGTTTTACACTCCGTTAGGTATACCAGTTTATGATTTTTCGTGGTATTAATCCAATTTAACAGAGGGTAAATTGATCACAAATATACCAATTTGGGGTAAATTTGTCACAGGTATACCAGTTTGGGGTTTGTCATTGTATTAAGCCTGATACAAGAGAGGAAAGATGAGAAAAAAAAAATCAAATCGTATGAATACGCAAATTGGCAATATGTTGAACCGCTTATACAGCATATATACACGGCCAAAGGACCGAGAATGCGGTCGCGGTCACACCCTCACATTCAGCCATGAAAGAACTCTCACTCACGCACGCTCAGGCAAGAAGACCTTCAGCAAAAGCGTGAAAACACCGGCTGAATGTGATTGGTGAAAGGAATTCAGTCAAAGAAAAAGCACAAGTGGAACTCGCGGGACAAGAGCAGCCGTATTGAATTGTGCCCGGGAAAGGTGGTCCACCCGTTCCAGCAAGGAAGCAAGCAACCGGGAATCCATTTTTTTGGATCAGAATGGAGCAGCCCCCTTCTCTCTATAAAAAAAAAAAAAGCTTTCTGCGTCATCAGCGGCCCTCGCGCTCAAGACTTTCGAAGATAGCATTGGCACTTTTCAATGAAAGGCACCTCGCGAAGGAAGGACAATCGACCAAAGGGGAACACGGCCAAAATCACAACACACTCGGTCCCGCTCTAGAAGGAAATTCGCCCGACGTTCACGGCGTTTCGCAAGGTAAAGACCTGAATTTTTTGCTTTCAATCCTTTCGATTAATTCCATTGCATGAGCCTACAAACGGTGCACTTTGATTTTGCTCGAGTATATTTATCCGCGAATGCATTCACAACCCGAATTGAGAACACGAGGCGACTCGTCTTGCATACGGCTTAATCTGAATCAATTCCTTCTGGTTTTAATTTCGATTTGCTTTCTTTGGAGAAAAATCACCAAAAAAGTCCTAAATCTATTGCAATTATGTCACAAACGAACCAGCGACGTTGGTCGGTTTATCTCGTAAGGACAAGGATGTAGCATGAATTTTTCCAGATTAACGAAGTCAAGTCTCATACGAGAGACTATAACAGCGTCTTCTCCACGCCAGTGTACATCTCGACGTTTCAAATGGGTGATCGTACACCGATGAAGTTGAGTTTTCAAGTGGGGGCAAACTCGTTCAACAGTTGCCCAGTCCATACTCCACAAATAATTTATTTTTTTAATAATCCCAAAATAGGTCCCCTGAGTTTTTAATTTGTACAATCTGATCGTATGAAGTGCCCAATTAAGCTGGGCAGCGGACGATTTTATGTAGGTTCTCAGTCACTACTCCATGCATGCTTATGCATAAGTTCCCATAAATTTACTGAACCCTTAATCAATAATTAGAAAAGAGACATGTTTTGTGTGCACACAGCATATGGAAACCAAGAAAAAGGTTATACTGACCGAGATGAATTCAAGACATGTATTATTTTAAATAATTCTCTTTGTTTCACTTCGGCCGATCGACGGTATTGGACCCATATAAAATGTGAGCCAAAATCACAATTGATAGTTCAAATATTATAGTATCGTTTTATGCTTAGTAAAGTGAGTAATCGTACTTGTCATCGTGCATGCAAGATAGTTTGCATATTTCCTTCATAGTTTGCGCATCAACTGAAATTTAAAATTAGGGATAAGTGCCCTAGAAGTCCTAAAACTTGCCATGAAAGTGCAATTGAGTCCTGAAACTTTCAAAAAATGCGATCAAGTCCTAAAACTTGTCACGAAAATGCAATCAAGTCCTAAAATTTTCAAAAAGTGTAATCAAGTCCTAAAACTTATCACGAAAGTGCAATTAAGTCCTAAAACTTTTAAAAAGTGCAATCAATGGAAGGACTTGATTGAACTCATTTGACAAGTTTTAGGACTTGTTTGCACTTTTTGAAAGTTTTAGGACTCAAATGCACTTTCATAACAAGTTTTAGGACTCAAATTGACTTTCATAACAAGTTTTAGGACTTAATTGGACATTATGAAAGTTTTAGGACTCAACTGCACTTTCGTGATAAGTTTTAGGACTTTTAATGCACTTATCCCTTAAAATTATATGCATAAATAAATCAATCAAACTTTCTAAAAAAATCCATTTATTAACTATTGAGTATATCTCACGCACAGGTTACCAACTTTGACGAGGTGACTCAACATGAGGACCTCCACTATCGGGGTCCCTCTCTGACTTTTGCTCTGCTTCTTGCAGAGCGTGAAAGTCGAACCCTGCACCTCCTTAATCCCTTTACCAGCAGAGCCGCATGTCTATTGGCCCAATGACCAAGTTAATTCGCTATATATAAGTTCTTACTTCATTGTTTCCTCTGCCAAAACTGCAATTAACCGCAGAAAAACCCACGCAGCTCAAGATGAAGTTCGTTGGGATGATGTCGATTGCCCTTTTGCTGGTGGTCTTGAGCACCAACTCGCACGCCATTTCCTCATGTAATGGCCCATGCCAAACCCTCGACGACTGCCAAGGCCAATTGATTTGCATCAACGGAATGTGTAGCAACGACCCCAATCTAGGCACTCAGATATGTGGCACCGGTGGTGGCGATCAACCTGTGCCGACGTCGGACGACGGAGGATGTGAGTCCTCAGGCTATCTCCAATGCAATGGTAAATCTTATCCTACATTCACTTGCTCGCCCCCGGTAACTTCCTCGACCCCAGCTATCTTGACGAACAATGATTTCAGCCAAGGCGGTGATGGGGGAGACCTGTCCGAATGCGACGAGCAATACCATGACAGCTCAGAGCTAATCGTTGCGCTGTCGACGGGGTGGTTCAATGATAAATCGCGCTGCGAGAAGATGATCCAGATAACCTCTAGCAAGACCGGAAGCAGCGTGAAAGCCAAAGTGGTAGATGAGTGCGACTCAATGCGTGGGTGCGATTCTGTCCACGCTTACCAGCCGCCGTGCAGAAACAACATCGTCGATGGCTCGGAAGCCGTGTGGAGTGCTTTAGGGCTTGATAAGGATGTGGGTGAAGAGGATGTGACTTGGTCAATGGCGTAGACACAGGGAGTGAGATTGATGTAACTTAATGTAGAGAGTACTAGCTCTCCAACACATATATAATAATGTCGCGACCGAACTCCCGAGCCCTCTTTTTATCGAACATGCAAAAAGGGAGGGTTCGCCTGGTATGTGCTAAGTCTAAGTTCAAGACTTAACTAAGGCTCTCCCAAGCCCATACCATATCACGACTTAGGGTTTAAGTATTTAACATGCAAGTGATTTATATCAAGGAGTCGCCACTAATCGATTTGGGTGGGTCGATTAGAAACCCAAATAAGGTGATGGGAGAATCACCCTATTCCCCAAACCGTAGATTAAGCGAGCTCGGGGACTTGGTTACACTAGTTGGATAACTAATGCCCTTTCGGTACCTTTTTACCCTGTTCATTTCATGAAAACATTTGTCAGGCAATTTAGATTGATTTTAGGACCTTTCTCCTAACATGTGAGGTGATCAAGCGAGTGCATAATCAGAAATGATCAGCAGTCAGGAACATAACAATTCATGCAGTCTAAGGTTCTAACCTTAACTAAGTCAGATGACATTCAAAACACAACTCATGCGATTGTATTAAAAACATGCATAATAATACAGCGATAATAAAAATAACGTGCAAAATATTACCGCGCAATCTCAGGCTTGTCTAATTTAAACAAGACAATAACATGCATAATAATACAACAATAAATTAAAACACTTAGGTATATCACATAAAAAAAATTTTAAAATTTTTTTTATAAAAAAATATAATAAAAAAAATGCGAAATTTTTTTTTGAAAAATAAAAAAAAAATAAAAAATAGGAAGGGAAAAAGAAAAAAAAAGAAACGAAAATCTTTTTTTTTAATTTTTTTAATTTTTTTTAAAATTTTAAAATATTTTTTTAAAAATAAAAAATAAAATAAAAATTAAAAGGGACCGGGTCGGTCGGATCAGGCCAGGTCCATGAAAACCGTCCAGGCGTTGACCGGGCAGTCAGGCTGGCCGGGTCGAGGCTGGGCTTGACCCGAGTCGGATCGAATTTGAACCAGAGTCGGTCGAGCAGGCCCGAGTCACCGATTCCAACCGGGGCGTTGACTGAGGTCGGGTCAAGCCGAACCCGGGTCGGGTCGGATCCGTCGGTCGCGGACAGCCGGAGAAACCCAAATCGGCCGCCGCAGGCCTACCCAAGCGAGCCGCCTCACCAATCGACTCTCGGGACAAGCGCGAGCCTCGCCGACCACACAGGTTCTTGATCAGGCGTCGACCCGGTATTGGAGAGTATTAAAAACGGCCTCTTTGAGGCATTTTATCAAACAGGACGGTGAGCGAGCAAAAAAGGGGAATCCTAACCTATTTCGAGGCCTCGCGGGTCCTCGGGATACAGTTATTACCTTTAGCGGCGACTACGCACGGACGACGGGGACGGCGGTATGGGCGGGACTCGCGTGAAACGGCCGACGCGGGTCCCAAGCCAAACGGGAGCAAAACGGGGGAAAACATAGCGCTCGGGCGGGGGAGAGCTCACCGTCGGCGACGGCGCGTCGGGAGGTTTCCGGTTGATCGGGGGGCGACGGCGACGCGGCTGGGAACTTGTAAAAACCAACTCTCCTCTCTTTCACTCTCTATTTTCTCTCTTTCTCTCTTTGTTTTTCTCTCTCGGTTTCTCTCTAAAAAATGGCCAACCGACTCCTCTCCTCTCTTTCTCTGGTCTTTTATGGTCACGGTACGAGCACGGCGGTCGCCGGAAGAGCTCTCGATCTCTCGGTCTCGCTCAATCTCTCTTTCTCTCCCGGCTTCTCCTGCTCTGTTTCTTTCGTAAAACGGCCGACGGCCTCTCTCTCTCTCTGCGGCTATTTATAGCCGGCGGCAACGGTGCTCTCTCGCTCTCTGCGTCGGCGTGACGACAGTCTGCACCGCGCCTACGCCACCCCACGACTTTCGTGGCCATTGTAGGCCGGTGCGGAGCGGAGCGGAGCGAGTACGAGACGGGCGGGGAGGAACAGAAGCCGAGAGGAGGAGGAGATAAGGGGAAGCCGGGAAAGCGGGAGGCGGGTCGGCAATTAATGCGGCCCGTCGGCGTGCTCATCCGGCCTGCTCGGGCCGGATAAGCGCAGCCCGCCGTGCGTCCGCGGCTAGCAGTCGGGCACGAGAGGAGAACGGGCGGCGGCGAGCGACGGGGAGAAGGAAGAAGAAGAGTGGGCGGGCCGGGCCAATGCTGTGGGGAAGGAGAAGGAAAAAGAAACGGGCCGGGCTGCGGGGGAAAAAGAAAAGGAAAGGGCTAGGGCGGGGGAAAGGGAAAAAGAAATGGGGGTCGGCCCGGCTCCCCCGGCCCGACTCGTTTTTTTTTTAAAACTTTTTTTTTTAAACTTAACTCTATAATAGACTCTATTAGTGCAAATGTACCTAATTTCTATATGCAATGCATTTAAATAGAAATATTTTTTGTTTTAGGAATTAAAGAAAATTAATTCCTAAATTTTGTGTAATTAATTTTGGGCAAATTAAAAATAGGTGTCAACAAATAAGATGAGGAGAGATTACACAAAACCCTCATGATTGGGGGATAGTACACGTTTGGTACCAAACCATCGACTATTACACAATACTTTTATGATCTTTCAATTTTTATCGAAAATTAGGATATCTATTTGCTGTCTTGGGTGAGATCCTAGCTATGACGATCAAGAGGGAACGAATGAATTGTTGGTATTGAAATTTTAAACAATTTCCAGACTTAAGAATCGACACTATAACAGCATTTAAAGCATTCGTGATGCTATGCTAAAATAACAATTGTACTCAATCATAGTATGCAAAATGTCAATGGTTAGGGATAAGAGAATTTGAGTCAAACACTCACGAATGCAATTGTTTTGCTATTCTCACGAACTTTGCTTTGGTCTTGTTCCTAGCTACTCAAAACATTTCTATTAATATCTATAGCTCTTAAAGCATAAGTATATTGACCCATTATTGTGAATGTTATGACCCCGGTAGATTTTCTTAAACAACAAACTCGACTCTAGGCTATGTTTGGTAGTCTGGTTAAAATTTAGGATATGATCAATTTTATCCTATCCCATGTTTGGTGCCTGCCCAAGACAGGATAAACTTGGATATAACAGGGATATAGCCTGGATATATTTATCTCATGGGAGAGGTGGGATAAAGGTGGATAGAATTTTTAATATTAACATAAAAGTTATTTTTCTCAAATACCAACTTGTTAAATTAACCCACCCATCGGTGGCCGCGTTGGTTTGCGCTCAGTTCCTTTCATGAAAGGTCCACACTGGGTTCAAACTCGCCCATCATGATTTAAGTGGGGGTCGTGGGCGTGGGATCTTTGTCTTAGCCCCCTCGAGGACTAGTCGGGCATCACCGTGGTTTGTAGCCCTAGCTCGCCGGCCGCGCGGACACCTCGGTTATCAAAAAAAAAAACTTGTTAAATTAATAAAATTTAAATAATATTTGAATTTTAATATAAAAATTCGAAATAACAAATAAATAAAAACAATTTCGTTTTTATTTATTCTTGTTTTTATTTATATATTCAGATTTCTTTCTATCTTATGAAATAAATTTCATATATATATAAATTTAGTATTTATATTTACTACATATTTTAGGTATATTAGTATAGTTTACAATTTAATAAAATTTTATTAGAGAATGATGGAAGGGGTAAAAAGAAAAAAAAAGAAAAGAATTAAAAAAGAGTGGGAAAAATAATAAAAAAATAAGCAAATAAAAATGAAGTAGGTAAGAGTGTCGTGAGAAATTTTTATCATGTCCGTTTGTGCAGTTGTTAGGTTCATTTACGTTGATATGATGTTTATAGCAAATACTAGACATAACAATATGTAAAAATATCTGGTTTTATTACTGTAATTCACCAAATAGTGAATAGGTTATAGCAAATCCCTTGAATTTCATATATTATCCTATCTAATTATATCCTGGTTGGAAATTCAGACAACAAAATGCAGCCTAAAATTATTTGATGAACACTAATAGATAAGCTCACTCAAAATAGTTTAGGGAAAAGTTCCCAAAAAAAGTCATAAACCTACTGCATCGGTACCCATTCAGTCCTAAACCTTTCAAGCTGGCAAATTTAGTTCTAAACTAACTCACATTGGTACCGATTGAATCCAGCACTGACGTGGATAATTTTTTTAAAATTTATTAATAAATTTTTTAATTGAGTCCACGTTAATTCTGGACAATTTTTTTTATGTTAATACCTTATTTAGATTGAGGAATTTATGTTAATTAAATTAATGCATGTTTATTTTTATGCATAGCTCCTCGGTTTTGTCCGGATTTTATAATAGTTGCTCAATAAGGCTTGGGGTGTTTGCTTTCTCATGTTTTACTTGCTTTATTATTATTTCGTTTTACTTTATTTGATAAGATCGTAAAACATTTTCTAAAAGATGAAAATGTATCGATACGGGTATTAGATGAATCTAGCATAACTAACTCTCCGGGCCCGTGACATCTAGTTTGCAGAAGTAAGACGGGCTCTCGCATAATTGAAAACGGCCCATTGACATAATGGACATAATTTAATGAGACAACGAAGTTGAGAACGGAAAGACTTGAGAAGGCCAGTTCTAAGCAAGCATTAGCATTCAAGAGGACTATTTGCACCCACCTAGCAAATCTTTTTAACTCCGCCGGAGTTCACATTAGGAGTGTGCAAAAAATCCAGGACCGCCCAGGATCGCCCGGGACCGGACCGGAACCGGTCCGATTCCCGGTTCCAATTTTTTGGAACCGGTGGGTATCGGTCCGGTTCCCGGTTCCCGGTGTGGAACCGCCCACCCGGACCGGACAGGTAATATAATAATAATATATTTATTTTTTAAAATTTTAATTAAAAAAATCTGACCAAAAAAAAAAAAAAAACGTAACTAGGCACTCATAACTCTCTGCTCTCTTATCTCTGGACACTCATTTGATGGGTACCCACTTGATTTATGGATGATGTGGTTAATAGAACCGATCATAGTATAGAAATTGTATGGAAAGTTATGTTGTTTTCTTTTTGTTCCGTTGATCTGATGTTG